TGTTCTCCCTGGGGCCTAGCAACCCCCACGGCGGCTTCGCTTAACAGAGGTCATCGGAAAGGCACCTCACGAATGCATTCTGGGTGAAAAACCTTCCCAGAGGTGAGACTCGGGGTGCAGGTGGGAAGGATAATGGGACATCTGTGAGGGGACAGGGCAGACGCGCCTGGGGAGACACACAGTCCTGGTTGGGTCCTGTGAGCCGCTCCGAGTGGACGGCCCGCTGGACCGTGCTTGGAAGCGGTTCCGAACCCCGTGTGGTATCTGCGAGCTCCCGGTTGAGCTTTCCAGGGCTCACGTTCTTGGGGAGACTGAGGCTCGGGGAAGAGCCCGAGGCTGAAGTTCCCCCAATTCCACTCCTGTACCCCCCTCGGGGAAGGCCTTGCTCATCCCTCTAAGACAAGCGCTCCGGTGCCTGGGAAGAGGCTGGTTTTGAAGCCCTAGCTCTCCAGGCCTTAGCACGTGCTCTGAAACCCAGCGTGGGTGGATCTGATTCCCACGCTAGTGGTCTCCAAGCTCCTCTGGGCCACAGGCCCTGCAGGTCTCTGAAGGAAATGGGGAATGGGCAGGGGTCTGCATAGATACAACTCTGCATGTAGTTCCAGGGCTCCAGGGACCCCCGGGGCGATGCGTCAGATGCATCACTACTGGTATCAGATACACATTCCTGGGCCCACCACTGCATCAGAGCTTTTGGGATTTTGCTTTGCCCCCAAGGTCCTCTGGTGACTCAGATGCAGGAGGTACTTGTGAAGTTCAAGTTAAGGCCCCCAAACTAGGTCTTGTTACTTGCGCTTCTATAACACGTGTTCTTAGGGATGGCCGAAAGGTCCAGCCTCGGAAGAGGCAGGAAGGGGCAGATGAGACCTTTGCTTTTTCTGCCTACAAAGGAGACCTGCGAGAGGCTGCAGCTGGGCTGGGTGGGAAGACAGACCCAGGGCAAGGTCAATGTCACCTTCCATCTAGCCAGCTGCCCTCCGCCCGGGCTTTTCCACCGGGAACATTCCCTCTGCCCAGGAAAATCATTATCAGACTCGTGGCAGCAACAGCAGCTGTTCTCCAGCCTGGGAAGAAAGGTTTCAGAGGGAAAAAAAGAAAAGAAGAAAAGGAAAAAAACAAAAAAACAAAACAAAAAAAACCCCAGAGCCCTGTGGAGGACACAGAGGTCCGAAGCTGGGACAGGATCTCGCTGAGGACTCTGGGAGGACAGTCAGGCCGGTCCCGCCCGCCAGCAGCTGAGCCTTGAGAAGCCCCAGGAGAGCTGTGAGCGGCTTCCTCTGGGCTCGCTCGGCCAGAACATCATCTGTTGATTCTAGAGCCCAGCCCCTAGCTCATGACTTCCTCCCTGGTTGCCATGGCCCCGTACAGAAAACACAGCAAACGCCTGGCCCCCGGGCAGCTCATTTATTTCAAATATTCCTTGCAGCTGGACTCCAACCATGCTTGGGTGTCTGGACTGGAGCATGAACTAATTGCTCTGTCTTCGGCCCCCTCCCCGGCTCCCCCAGCATACTTTATGGTTCAGTAAAG